ATCATATACTGGGCTGCAAAGTTGGTAAAAAAACACTCAACTCTGACTCCTGATAATTTTAGTAGGACAACTTCTACTCTGACTCCTGACTCTGGCAAAATTAAATACTAAGTCATTTTATGGGGGCAGAGGTGCTCATGGGTGGTACCTTACTCTAAACTCTGAAAGGAGCCTGGGGCATNACACATTCATACAGATACAGACTTTTTACACATTGCAGCAGGTCTCTTTTTATTGTTTTTTAATCGGAGTCAGATTCAGGAGAGGCTACCGGAGCTTGCAGGGCCATCTCCTTTTGTTCCATCCTTTGTTTTTTGGCAGCTTGCTTCTTGAAAAACATATCCAAGGTGGTCTGTTTCTCTCTTCTTCAACACCTGTCGGAAATGAAGGGCAAGGGTGTCATTGTAGAGATCATTGATCCTGTTGGCCTCAGCTCTGTTTGGATAATGAGTGTTGGTAAACTCCTAAACCTCTCCCTATTTGAAAGGAAGTTTTTGTCAACTTTCACTCCTTCTGATGATGTCTTGCTTTGTTTCAATTGAAATCACCTTTCTGTTTTTTTTTAGAAGCCATGATTTGAACAACACTTGAATAAATGTAAATACCCTACACTGAGGTGATTTATGTAATAAACAATGGAGCAAGCCGAATCCCAACGGGAGCTCTGCACTTTAGATATACTAATAATATATTCTAATAATACTAATATATTATAAAAATAGCAGATTGTCATTGGCAATGGCAAAAGAGTGGAAACATTATTCACACTTGTTTGCAGAAAGACTATTGTTCACCTCACGTAACTGCTGAACGGAAAGTCCGTTGTTTGCAACCAGTCCGTTGCTCGAGTCATATAGCAGCCAAACAGAAAGTCCGTTGTTCACAGCATACATTATACAAGGTACCACTGTATTACAGTAATAATAGAAAATGTCTATTATTACTACTACTGAATTTTGTGTTTCCTACTAATGCATTTTAAAAACCACATGCTTCAATTGTTTTTAGATTCTTCATATATTCTAGTTTCTGTAGTATTTCCTTTTTACTTAAGAAACAATATTCTTTCTGTAGTATTCAACAGAGTACTATAAGAAACAGAGTAAGAAACAGTATTTTTCTATAATTTCTTTTAACAATATCTGCATTTGAAAGCAAACACCAGTTCCTGATATAAAAAGGTGTTCTTTTATGTATCAATATATGATGTCTGATTAAGAATAGTCCAAGGAAGGCTTTTAAGCACGATTGAAAATGTTTGTTCTAAATAAATCTGAGTTTTGCTGGACTTCAAAGGTGTATTCTTCACTTCTATTAATTGTATTTTCAGTTGGTTTTTCTGTATGGGTTTTCTGCGTGGCAATACCAGCCAAAGCTCATAAATANCTTTTGTAATTAAATAAAAGTTTTAATTACTTAAATATTTATGTTGCATAGTTTAATGATGATGGAAATTGCATCACTCATAAAATTCCTATAAAAAGTATGTTTATTTTTTAAATTAAAGTATCATTTTGCTTTAGACTTGTAAGAAACTGTAAAAATTTGCATCATCCCATGATACCATAAACATGGGAATACTTTTTGTTAACTGACGGTTTAATGCTGAAATGTTTTTGGTGATTATATCATTCATTAGTATAAAAACCAATGCAACAATGTTGTGTTTTTATGAGAAAAATAGAAAATTTTTGACAGTTAACACTGTGCATAATGTATATAATTATTGCTTTGGATACTGAAGGTTTATCTTCTCATAAAATAATGCAGAGAGTATATTGTCATCAATCAGTAATTGTGTTTTTGTTACAAAGACAAAGGAGACATGAACATTGAAAGAAAGGCTGGATCAGGAGATAAAGGTTTGAATATGTCATGCCAGGACAGGATGCTAAAATGTCTTAGCCTGCAAAAACACACTGTTAGTTCTTCCAAAGTGGGAAGAGCAGACATGTGTAAGAGTGAAAGTATGAATCAAGTTCATACTTTCATTCTTAAACCTGATTTATAACCTGAGGTTTAAAACTTTATTGAGACATCACTTGTGCAACATGGATTTAAAAACTTACTGTTCACATACGAAGGTATTATTGATGAATGAAGTGAACAAACAATGCATTTTACTCCTGGTACAGAGGTAGATTGGCAGGAAGCCTTCATCATCAGAATAATCTCTTGCCCTTCCATTCCAACATTGTAAACAAGTGTGAAATTTATAACTATGTCATTATCAACATTTGTACAAAGAGCAAAGACATCCCTTGCCTGGCAATATCTCCTAAGTATTTCATATTACCCACTACCATTATAATTCACTTCCCCTCACTTGTTTATTCTATCCTGTTTTCCTTCCTTACTGACACGGCATTCCACACAACTAAAATGGCACATTAACTGGATTAAAACACTAACATTCTTTAAACTTCACCCACTGTTAAAAGTTGTATTGATTAATTCAACTGAGTAACTGTTGTAGCTAGTTCATTTGTAGAAGTATTATATAGTCAATAAATAAATACAAAATATAAAATATAGCACATTCCTATTTATTAAAAATTAGGTTGAATTTTATTACCCAAATCCAGTGCTGATTGCAGATTTTTTGCTTTTGTGCCAACCAATTTTGAACATTTTTTTAGTGACATATCAGATAAACTTCTTGCAACTGACTTTACTGTACCTAAGCAGGTAACATTTTAAGAGAAAAAATAAACTTGTAATTCAGATTATTTCATAACAGAAATTATGTTTATAAAGCCATACTCAATGCAGAAAAAAAAAGACCATATATATTGCATATGTGAGGACTCAACAACCGAGGTTTGAAATCATGTAAATTGCAGTATTCTTATGTTTAAATAATAACAATAGATTAAAAATGAGAGGAAAATCCCTCAATTTAAACAGCACGGCACAAAATGTAAACGAGTCCCAGATGACTCCAACGTGTGTTAAACGAACTGTCAATGTTAAAATGAAAAGTTATGTCAGACACAAGTGATCATAAACAGGTAGAACTTTTACCCAAGCGCTCATAAACAATCAATCTAGGGAAACAGTTTTGGAAAAAAGGGAAAGATTTAAGCAAGATAAATCATTGCATATGATCGTTTGAGTACCCAGATGAGAGAAATCGCGAGTAACAGAGCTAAATTATGAGCACAAGTCTTGCAATTTTGTCAAGAATCCCCAAGAACAATCGACAGAAAGGTGTCAAGCAGACACCTGGAATTGGACCTTTCCCATGACCCGAGTCGGTCTCGGTTTCCCCCAAAACAAAAGAGAGACCAATTGGGAAGCGAGGAAGGGGACGAGGAGCCAAGCAGAAGTCCGAATAGTGGGAGAAAAACTATAAAAATCCGAAATTTCAAGGTTGGAAGAGGGTCTCCTCTATACTCCACAAAAGGTCGTGACTCGTATTGTGGTGTTTTGTCACCAACAACTTCGGACTCTGCTACTTCATTCATCTGATCGGCCGCCTTGCTCAGCAACGTCATCTCGTCTGCCCTGGGGCTATGACAGACGCCCCAGGGCGTCTGCCGTAGCCCCCGAAGTTCTCACCTCTCAGCCTTTCCAACAAGTCAATCAGAAGTTCTAGCCGCTCTGCCTTTCCAACAAGAAAAACCTAGTGAAGGACTCAATTGGTGATGTAAGCGTAAATGTTAACAAATAAACGGCTTTCTTGTGTAAAACACTTGTCGGCATTTGCCTCCTCTGCCACAGCCCACATACAACCTTCCCTTAGGTTCATCTTGACGTGGGATTAATTGATCCCACTTAAAAGACGACAACTTTACACAGGTGCCAAGGATTGGGTTTTCAAGTCCCCTGATCTCCACTGGGTTGGCTACCTTACACATAAACAAAATGATGTGTCTTTTGTTAGAGTTGATAGGATCTAAGATGAATTGGAAAAATTTGAAGTGTTAGAACAAATAGCTATATGAATAAAAAAGGGAATGCAGCTGACAATATTAGGAAGAAATGAACTGCAGAAATTAAATAGAAAATCAATATGTATATTAAAAATTAGAATTTTTAATGCAATAAATATTCATAGTTATAGGTTCACAATTTTGGAATTAAAGTATTGGACAATCTTAATCTCGTATGATTTCAGAACCTACAGTTTATGCAACTAAAATGGAAAAAAACGCAACTAAAAACAGTGAAATTAAGTGAAATTAAGATGTTAAACTGATGTAAAGCCAAACTTTTATAGATGCTGTTTTCGTAGTTCACAATTTACAGTCTGTGACAGAATTCTGTTTTTAGTTTTCTTTTTCTGTCAACATATTCCATTATTATTCAGATTGCTTTTTGTTCATTGACTTATTTTCTATGTTTCGTGTTCCTATGGACTATGATACAGTATGTAATCTGATGAATCCATACTGTATTATGATTTAATGGATTCATCAGATTCCATGTTTTTGTATTGAATAGTATAGAATTTTCTTCCCAAATTTCTGTGTCCAGGATAAAATGTACCTTTTTAGTGGATTTTGTTGCATACAAGTACATATGTTGAGAAGTTTTTACTATAAAACTAATAATGTATATGCATATACATAGAAATCCACAAAAAGATCTAAATATTATGACTGAAGAGGGACATGTTAGGTTCAAAATGCATATCATAATAAATACATGGAAGAAAATCATCTCTCAAGATCATTCTGTCCTGTGGCTGTCTAGTTTCATAAGTCTGTCTGTAGGAAAAGTGCACCAGCACAAAACATAGGAAATATTCCATTGTCTTTTTTTTACATGTTCATATACTTCCATAAAATTCACAGGAAATTCTTGAATGGTAATTTATGTTACTAATAATTGTCAATAATTTTTGAGTTTCAAAATTTTATTTTTTGTTGAATAAAAAATAATATTTAATGAAATTTATGAAAATAATTGTTAATATCAGATATGTTTTTATATATGTAATATTAATCTAATTTCATATGAATTTAATGTAACTTTTTATTTTTTATTTTCAACAGTAGCAGTGATGAGACTTATTTATTCGATAGTACTCATGGTTGCACATCGTATAATAATAGACAAACTATGCCACATATTAATCCTTCTCCTGCAAAATCTTCATCAAGATTAAGGTATTACAATTTTTTTCAGTTTTGAATAACTTTTTTGAACCTAAGAATTACAATAAGGTTAGACTCAATTTTGCATAATGTATACATAAATCATTAACAATTTCTTGAATAATCAATCAATTGTTATAATATTCTGATATATGATTAATCATTTCATAAAATTATAATGTTTTATACACTTCATTATGCAGAAGTAGGGATTTAGCTTAATTGTAGCTTGAATACTAATAATAATTATAAAACATAATTAGAATATACAACTGTGATCAAAAATTATCTGGAATAATTCATTTACTGTGCACTTGCAAGCGGAGGCTGTGGTGGTTTTTTGTTTTGTTTTGTTTAGTATGATTTTCATCAACATCTAGCAGTAATTCATGTGTCATCATCTGTTTTTGTTTGCAAATAAATGGTTGTTTTGTGTGTGAATTTTTGTGCTGGTGATTTTCCAAAATGTTGAGCAAAGAGCAAATTGAACAAAGAGCATACATTAAATTTTATTTTTGCAATGGAATTACTATTACAAAAATGTTGGAAATGTTGCAAAAATGCCTTTAGTGATTATACTCGTAGTCTATCAAAAACAAGAGTTTTTGAATGATACAAGATGTTCAAGGAAGGCAGAGAACATTTCTAAGATGAACCATGCTCTGCTAGACTGTCCACTTCAATTGATGAAAAACATAACACTCAAGTTCGATTTGGTGTTCAGTGATAATCATTTAACAATTAGGAATATTATTGAACATGTTCCACTATCATTTGGATCTTTACAAACAATTTTGAAAAATTATTTGGGCCTGTGGTTGAAGTTGTCAAATTTTTTCCAAAAAATCCTGTTTAAGTGGCTGAGGAAATGCTTTCTCAAGGTGAATCTTTCTTAAAATGCAACATTACAGAAGATGAAACATGGATCTATGCTTTTGACACTGAAACAGCTCAACAATCAAGTGAATGGCACTAAAAAGTGAAGCAAGACCAAAAAGACCACATCAAAGTTAATCAAAAATCAAGGTTGATTGTTGTGGTGTTGTGCATCATAAATTCCTTCTGACTGACTAAACTGTCAACAAAGAATATTATTTCAGCAGTTTGCATTATTTTGGTGAATCAGTTCGTAGAAAATGGTTGGATTTATGGCAAAAAAACTTGTGGATTTTTGGACTGTGATAATGCACCTGCTCATAATGCTCTTGCTTGTGAATTTTTGGCCAAAAATTTAACAAATATGGATCCTCAAATTCCATATTCACCTGATATGTTGCCATGCGACTTTTTCTTGTTTCCTCAACTGAAATTTCCACTTCATGATCACTGTTTTGAGTCGATTGATACCATAAAACAAAATTTGCTGTGAGTAGTCCTGAAGGGGTTTCACGAAAACAACTTTAAAGCATGTTTTGATGATTAGAAAAATGTTGGCATAAATTAAAACATTGCAATGGGAGGGGATTACTTTGAAGGGAATGAAATAAATTTTGATGAATAAATACAGATCTTGCATGTTACTGAACCATTTTCAATACTTTTTGAACACTGATACAAATGTTATAAGTATTTGTTACATTAATTAGAAGTTTTTATCATTAAAATTAACCATTTACACCACCATCTTGTTCACGTTAATTTTGTAAACTGTCCAAAGACAATATAGGTCAGTCAGGCAATATTATTTTAAAAATTCATCAAAAATCAAATTACATTATATTCATATGAAAAAAATTACATACAGTACATTTATTAATATCTTTGGATTTAAATACAATATTTTTCAATACATTTTATTAGAAAAATTTATAACAAAAAAAATAATATAATATCAGAACTGACATTTAAACTTGATAATTTGTAACTTTTTGTCAAAATTAACATTGTTTAGCTACCTAGTTTTTTTTTTTTAAGAAGAGCGTTTAGCAAGCACAATCTCCTTGGTTTTGTCAGCTTTCATGAGAACGATGTTATTCTTTTGTAATCATAAGCATGTGTTGTTTATGTTGGTTATGAAATGCTTGATACTCGTATTAGACCTTATTTTTCTTTCCTGAGCTGTGAGGAAACATGTTTTCCAGTGGAAATAATATTGTATAGTATTGCTCAAACCCCTGATTATACAAGGCAAGAGCTAAACATGATTTTCTCATACAGTGCTGCATCAACAAGGCATTTTCCATGTCTATTCACAAGATACACCTTCCTGTTGAATGCGAATTGCTAATACCTAGGCTTAAAGTTTTGTGTCTCAACAAAGCTATTAAAACCACAAGAAGTGCCTATGCTAATTTACATAAGCTTATAAAGGTGGAGAATGAGCTTTTCACACAAGACCCAGAAGTATTAAAAGAAAACTACCTAATTTTTTGCTGGCAACGAGCCAGAAAGATGTAGAATATTGTTCTGTACAACTCTACATAACACTTATGCATGTATGTTTATTCATTGTGAAATTATCTCACATTATATCAAACATTTGTTTGAAATCAAAACTTTATTATGCTATCAACTAATATAATGAATTAATATACTTTATTCACTTCATATCGAACAAGAATATATAAAATGTCAGAACTGAAGGTCACAACTTGAATATATATAACATGTTGACTTATTATAGCATAAATTAACCTATTGTAGTAGTAATATTGCATAAATATGCTAAAAATGAAATAAAAAATTATCGGAAAAAAATAAATTAAGGAAAAAAGCATTAATTAAAATTTTTTAAGTCAACAAATACCACCTGGAGAAAAATATGTGAAACGGACGATAGACACGACGCTACTGTCAAATGCAGACATATATTGTCGATAAATTTTACAAAAATTGATTTTTACTAGGGTAATGACGAATTGGTACCCTCAAAGTTTTTCTTAACAATGGGGGTACCGATCGATTGGTACTTTCAAGGGCAAAGGGTTAATAAAAATGTTAAAATATCTTCAACTGCTACAGTTTATCTTATTCCTGTTCAAGATTACTGTGTAAATTAATGGGACATAAAAGACTATGATTTATAATATTTTTTTTAAAAAAAATTTTTCAAGAAGCACACTCTCCCAAAACCAGCTTATAGAGGTGAGTTAGGATATATAACTACTAGCACATAAAAAGAAAACTTTTATTTAAACTTCAATATTGTGTTACCTCAAAATGCATTTTGCCTTGGTTACTAAACCAATGCCTTTCTGTGAGGAATTACACAAGATCATGTGGCTTGTTAAATGACATCTCTACAAAGTCAGTGATCTTATTTAATTCTTCACTGAAGAGGCCTTGGCTTAGTAACCATGGCAAAATGCTTTTGGAGGTAACACATAATATTGAAGTTTAAATAAAAGTTTTATTTTTATGTCCTAGTATTTATATCCTAACTCACCTCTAAAAGTTGTTTTGGAAGCAATTGTTCCTTGAAAAATTTTTACTTTTAAATTCAGTTTTAATATAGTTATTTTATTAGAATAAAAAAAATTAACTTGATTGTTATGGATTATCAACATTTTGAATGATAGTCTCAGGAAGCAAGACCAAAAAGACCACATCAAAGTTAATCANAAAATAAATGAATTATAACAAAATACAAAAAGATTTTTAAAAAATTAATAAATATATAATAAATTTTCTTTCATTTAAATAAAAAAACGAAAGTAAATTTAAAATGCAGGAATCGGAGTCAACACATTTTTTCTGACTCCAACTAATCTGGTCAGAAATTCTTCCCGACTCCAACTCCACAGTCCTGATCATATACAATAATTGATAAAAATAAAAGTTATTATTAAGGAGAATTATGCAAGTTCATATAGTGCTTGCCAAGCTGAGGATGTAGAATCTGTCTATAATTGAAAACTGTGCCTCTTCTGAAGACTTTATAGATTTCCACACATTCTAGATATTTGAGACTGGTCAGGTCAGAAGAGTAGTGCAAAAGGTGTGCTCTATCAAATGTGACCTGAACATCATCATCAAATGTAACTAAGTTACCAGCACAGTGGTGGAAAGTCTCTTCCTTATTCTATATTCATATGCTTTGGTCCTCATGTTATGGCATCTAGTTGTAGCACCAAAATACTCACAAGGATGATACTGTGGTCCTGTATGGGATAGTGTAAATACCCAGCAAGTAGCTTTTCTTTGTTGGGTTCTTGTCATTCCTGATCATCAAAAATCAAAAACTGGTACAATTTCTCTTGTATGCAATCTTGAGGCTTTATCATCATGTCATCTGCACTCTGGGTTGTTATTGTTGGCTTAGCATTAGTGCATTAATTAGTTAGAGCTGTAGAGTTGGCCATGTTGTTTGGCTACATATGAGATATACTGTAGCTCCTCTTATCTATCCTGTGTTGACAAACATTGTGTGAAAGTGTTCTTTATTAGTGTCCTAAAGGTCTTAAAATCAAAAGGATCATGAAATTGTGCCAGGATGAAGAGTGGACTGTAAGAGGCATTACAATATACATTCTTTGATAATTGTCTGTATTGTAAGGTAATATGCATGTCCAGAAAATGAACCTGGAAGGAACTTTTCTGTTCAGTTGCGGAGAGAGGCCATAGGCATTGTTGTTGAATCCCTTTATGTCTGGCCAGCTGTCCAAATAATCAAGTATATTGTCAACATATCTATCATATAAAATTATCTGATCTTTAAAAAGAGGTAAGATGTTCTGATCCAGTCATTGTACCAATACCTCACATAGTGTTTTGAAACTTTAAAGACTTATAAGCTAAACACTCAATTTTTAGAGGCCCATTTTTCAGAAATGTTTGAGAAGTGGGCCTATTATTTGGACAAAGCTGTTTATCTTTAGGGCTACATGCTCACCAAGTATTGTTCAAATTGTAGACCTAAATGTCTGTCCCTTGTAAGTAATTTGGCCTAGAAGTAGGTGTTATGTATCTTCTTTCATTAAATTTAATAATTATAATTAAATTAATAGTAATTAATTAATTTAGAAGGTACTAGAAGGAAAGAATCAGCTCAGAGAGGACTCAAATTCCACAGTTTCCATTTTCTGTGCAGATGCATAACTGGCAACACATCTGCACAGAAAATGGAAACTGTGGAATTTGAGTCCTCTCTGAGCTGATTCTTTTCTTCTAGAACTTTCTCAATTAATTAATAAATATTAATGTGATTATAATTATTAAATTTAATGAGAGATAACACCTAATGTCTATCTCTAGGCCTAATTACTTAGCATTTAATTATTAATAGTAATAGTAATACAGCTTTATCTAATCCAACAATCATTTGGCTTTAAAAACTGTAATTTACCTGTGAGAAATATGACAATCTTCATATTGTCCAGCTTATGATAGGCAATCTGAAAATTTTTATTGTTTTGTGCTGAATGATCCTAGATTTGTTCAGGCAATGCTACTGCACTAGACTTTGATCATAACATACATATATATATATATATATATGCACATTTAAATTTAAATATGTATACACAACACACACACACACACACACACACCCACACAAAATTACATGGATATAATTTAATGATGCAATGGATACATAATGTATTTTATCANATAATTTATTAAATTTATGTGTTTTTATAAGTGTTTCTTGAAACATAATTATACATTTGTGATATTCAAACATTTGAATGAGTATTTTTAGATTGAAAAAATAGTAATGAATTATTTTGAATATTATATTTAAAAAGCTTTAACTTTATAGGATCAGAGTGCCTTCACCTCAAGTCAGTCATCAAAACATTTTAAATGAGATTCTCCAAACACAATCTTTGTTGCATTCAAATTCTCAAAACATTAAAATAGAGAAAGATGGTTCTTTAACATTGAAATCTTCTGAATATACTCAACAAAGACCACAGAATCCTTTGCAACAATCTACTTCGACTGACAAAAGTAAAACTATACCATCTTGTTCATCTGAATCATCTAGATCTGAGTCAAGGCTTAATCAATGGTATGGAACTTATCAAGCAAATAGAGACTCTGTCACAAATGCAAGCCATTCTGGAAACTGTTATGAAGATCAGCGATCTGGACATCATTCAAGCATTATTTGTGGAGATAAGAAGAAAGAATATCATCAGTCTATAAGATCGAAAGATGCAAAATCTCAAAGTGAAGATGAAGTAGATATTTATAGTGATATAGAATCTTTAGGAGATGATATCATTGATGATGAAATAGATGTTTCTACTAATGAACAATGTAGCATTGCAAATGTTTATAGATGTGATTTACAACTTGATAATATGGAGGATGATAGAGATTCCAGTGAAAATGAACTTATAATTGATGAAGATGCAAAAGAAGAAGATAGTCAAAGTGTTGAATGGAATGAAGATAACAGCAGATGCAGCCCAGAAGAAGAAAATAGTCAAAACGATTTTATATTAAAACAAAATAAATTGAAATTTGAAACATCAGGATGTAGTAACACCAATATTGAGAACTGTGAATTTTCTAAAATTACAAACTTTCCATCCCAAAATGTTTGTGAAGATAAAAATTATGACTCCCCAAATAGTGGAAATGTTTCATCAGAAGAGATTTTGAATGATGATGACGATGATGAAACAATCAATGATGATGAACCACTTGAAAATATGGAACATGAATATGCTTCTTTGGAAGATGATGATGAAAAATCTAATAAAATTGAAACTGAAGATAATTTATTATTAAGTAATGATAAGACTCAGAAACCAGATTTAGAAGTGAATTTACCTTCAGTAAATAATGAAGAAATTAATAAAATTAATGAAGAAGAAAGTTTATCTTCTATAAGTAATGAACAAATCAGTGTGGAAGATAGCTTGTCTTCTGTTACAAATGAACAAATTCATAAACTGCATGAAGAAGATAGCTTATCTGTAAGTGACGAAGTAACTGAGAAAAAGTTTTCTGAAGTAGAACATCAGGACTTTGACAGATTAAACAAAGTTGACTTTCTTCCAGAGAGTAATAATTTTTCAAAAAACTTAAATATTTTAACAAGATGTGAAGAAAGTAGCCACTTAATTGATAGTAGGATAGATGAAAGTGATGAAAGCATCAGCAATGGCGATGACTATTATGCAATCAAAAAATGTTTAGACATAAGTGACACAACAGATAATCAAGATCTCAGTAAAAGAGATTTGGATGTTAATCAAAGTGATAGTTTATCTGAATTTAATTCCTTTTGTAAAAGTCCTGAAAATAACAATCAAAGCACGGTTGTTAATAAAATAAATATTGAGGATGGTGAAAATGAAAGTCAGGATGATAATATAAATAATGTGAAAGATAGTGAACTTGATCGCAAATTTAAATCAGAGTTAGCCAATTATAAAAATAATGAATCTTTCCTTAACTCTGATGAAAATAAATGCTTGACAATTAATGAAAAACTCAGTAAGGAAAATATTGAGGAAAATGAGAATACCTCTAAAACCACAACACATTCCATTTTACCTGCAGAAGATGTTGAAGATATTTCTGAAGATGGAAGTGATGATACAAAATTTAAAGATGGGAGTGACGACTGGGAAATTGATCAAGTATATGATGAAAAAATGGATGATACTTCTCATCATTATGAAGTGAGTGAAAAACAGTTTGAAGAAGTTGAAGAGAGAGTGGCAAAGCTGTTTGGAAGTGAGTACTCTGAACAAGTTCAAGATAAAGATAAACAGGATGATATGATTTATCATGGTATAAAAGATTATACTGGAACAAAATCTCATTCATATGAAGATGAAAGAGAAGAAGGAGAAATTGTTGAAGAAGTGCCTATCATAACTCATAGAAGTAGAAGTCGAAAGCTACACCATAGAGATTCAACCCATCAAGAAGAATTAGAAGATTATGGTGATCATGCTCCAAGAATCAATATTTCTGATTTACCAAGAATTCCAAAGATTAAGAGGGAAAATAAAGCTGACATCCCTGAAGAAACAAATGTAGATCCAAAAAGAACAAGTGTGCTGAGTAGAGTTGATTCTGGAAACATTAATGAAATCAGTTGGAAAAAGCTATCAAGGAGTACAAGAGAAAGAAGTTATAGAGATGGACGACCTAAAGACAATAAATTATTGTTTCGTGAAAGAGAAATTAAACAGAAACTTAAAAAAGATGAAGAAAAATCTAAAAAAGAGGAGGACACAAGAAGAAAGGATGATAAATATAAAAGATCAGAAAATGATAAGTGGAGAGAGAAAACAGACCATGAACGTGTGAAAGACAGAAGGGAAAAGTCAAAAGATAATTCTCATGATAAGTCTGAAAAAAAATTAGAAAGAGAATGGAAGATTGATAAGTTTGACGATAAAAAAGAATTGAAAGAGAAATTTTATGAAAAGTCTTATAGAGATGAGAAAAATCACAGAGATAAACATAAACACAAACATAGAGAGAATAAAGACCATAAAAGTGAAAAAGATAAGTTTCAAGAAAAACACACTCATGTTCATCATTCTCGTGAAAGAGAACATTCTAAACAGAAAGATCGAAAAAGTAAAAAGACCGATATTGATAAAAAAGAAATTCGGAAAGAAAAATCAGAGAAATCCATAGATAAGAAAGGAAATAAACATGAAAAAAGACATGACGATGAAGGTCATCTTTATTACGATCATAGAAGAAAGGATGGACTACCTTATCCCGAAGTTACAGCAATTGAATCTAAAGAAATATATGCAAAAGGTGATAGTATAATCATTAATGTTAATTTTAATAGAAATACAGACCATGATCAAATTAATGTAGATGACATCAAAAATATTCAAAAGGATGTTAAAAAGACAAAGTTAAAAGATAAATATTCAATTGATCAAAGAGCTGATAAGTTAGATAGCAAGCATGGTAAGCAGAAACATTTTTCAGATTTAGAAGAAAGTGAAATGAGTTTTATGAAACATCAAAAAAATTATGAAAGAAAGAAATCAACAGAAAAAGTTCATGTGGGAGAAATGTTATGGAAAGAAACTGAAGAGAATATACAAGCTCAAGATATCAGTAAGTGTAATACTGATTGTGATGATAGTAATAATTTAGATAATTTTGAAGGAAATGGTTCTCCCATTAGTGATATATCTGATCAAGATCTGGAGAAAGAATCAGAATTATGCAATGATGTATTGTCACCATACAATGATAAAAATATGTCTGCTAGTCCAGCAGTTTCATATGAATCTCCGAAACAAAGATCTCCTCTATTTCCTTCTCCTCCATCTCCAACTGAAAATGATAGTTATGATCCATGTGTTCCTACCAGAAGTCCATTTCTGCAACAAGATTCTCCATCCATAATAAATAACTATTCTGCTGATAACAAACCTAAACCTCCACCTTCTCCTGAATTACCACCACTTCCTCTTGAACCAGAACCAATGGATCATTCACCTCAAGATAAAGATTCTAAATTGAGTTGTTTAATAGATAAAGCAAACATTAAAGATATGAATTCTTCAGATATAATTCCAGTTGCTACTCCAGTATCCTGTAGTTCATTATGCCCTTCTCAAACACCTCAATTTACATTACCAAATGTTAAAATTCCACCTCCAAACTATATTCCTCAGTCGTCTAATCTTGCATCTAATTCTACTGTACATTCTCTCCTACCTAATATTCAAAATTGGAATGTTGGAAATACTCACGTATATTCTCATAATAATCAACCACTTATGCAAGGAAATTTTATTCCACCACATTTATCTCAAGGAAATGTTGTGCCTGCTGGTACAATAATTCCACCATCTATGAATAGACTTGTTCCGGCTCAACATGTACATTCAACCAGTCAGGTTATGACTCAATTTATGCCAACAATTCCCAATATTCGAGTACCACCACCCATTAATGCACAAATTGCAGTAAATCTTAATCAGCAGTCACATTTGATTCATCCATTCCTTCCAAATCAAGTACACCTTTCTGAAGGACAGCTACCACCAAGTGTATCATCTAGTGCTAAAAAATCAACACCTGATGTCACAGAAGTTGTCGATATGGAAGTAGATTCACCATATAATTCTCCCACTGTGATCAAAACTAATTTACAGCCTTCTCCTACAAAAAACAAATTTGATATGCTAGCATCTAGTTCTAAAACTCGTTCTCAGTTGCCATCAGCTGAGAAAAGACATCATGATAAAATGAAAATTTTAACTGAAAAAGTCAAGCAATCTCATTTGCTTTCTAAAACTGTTATTAATGCTTTAGATAGAATAAATAAAAAAATAGCAAATAAGTTAGAAGCATCTGGGAGCAATGCCAAACGATCTAAACTGGTTAACAGATCTGAAACTACGAAAGTTAGGCATAGTAGATTAGAAACAACTAAATCAAGTGCTCCCCCCAAGAAAGATTCGAAATCATCTGAGAAGAAAGAAATAATGATCAGAATGGATGAGTCACAATTGACTATACTTGAAGATTTGCCTAGTAGTGCTGTAGAGATGCAAGTTAAAGAAAAAGTAAGTTTTACTTTTATAATATATATTTTAATTCTTATGCTATGGGAAGTAAGTGGATCTATTTTGTATATCTATCATAAGTTCTTTTGATCGACAATGAGGATGACCAGAGTTGATGAGCAGGGCCTTACATATCTAAGTCAAATAATCTAGAGAATTTTCTGAGTTTCAGGCTTAGACCTAAATATGGTATGTCATGAGTAGCAAGCAGGCTGACAATTTTACTTCTTAGATTATCTAGCCTTTATTAGCCTTATCCAAATTGTATTGATATCCAAAAAATTAAGACATTAAATTTTATTCCTAATAATTGCTATTTTATATTTTAATCTTCAAACAAAAGTTGTGTTTTCATTTTTCTGAAATGATTTTTTCTGTCTTATGTTTCTCCCATGTTTATCTGTTTAACATTATCTTGTAAGTGTGTAAAGTTTTAGAACAAAATTTTTATATACTGTGCATATTTCCAATTGCAATTGTGAGTCCCATGCACTATAATCAGGATGGTTAAGATTTTTATGTTAAGAAGACTGAGAGATCACAAAATCTCTGTCTATGTTAGGAGCCTGACACCAGTTAGGATAGAAAAGAAAAATCATGTCCTAACTCGCAATATTTTGAAAATTCTACCAATCCAAGTGGCTTATGAATCCAGGAAAGATTTGAAATCTTTCATGGATAAGACAATAGAACTAGACTGGAAACATTTCTATCATATATAGACATATTTACTGGTATTTAAATTCAATAATATAAGTACCATCAAAAAATGATAAATATGAACACAACACAAATGTTAAACAATCTCTAAAATATCAAGGTTCTTATTGAATAAATCTACTGTAAGTATACCGTATTTACTTGGATATAAAATGAGGTTTTTATTCATTTATCACAGCTTCAAATTCCTAGATTGTCTTATACACACGAGCGAAAGATTCTTTGCGTTTTTGCAAATAATTTTTGTGAACCATGTATTCGCATTTTTTACTGAATGCTTACCCTCTGTTATTTAAAAACATAAGTATTTTATCTGGGTTGTTTGAATCGTTCTTGTGTATTGTCGGAAGTAAAGATGACTAGCAATAGGAGAAGCAAAGCTTATGAATTGAATTCCAGATTGAAATTCCAAAATCACACAGGAGCCCAATATAAGATTAAATCCATTCCCATGCGAAAACAGATGATTATTCGGAAATCAGATTTCGGAGAAACTCATAAGTGTAATCGATGGAGAGCAGATTTAACTGTTAAAAATTAGCAGAAAAAAAAGGTTCCTGATTGTCCAGCTTTACATGAACAAATTATGTTGTCGATTCTACAAGATTTTTCATTAAAGTTTAAAAATGCCAGTAATTTTTGCGGGACAATGTGTGCATTTACAGTAAGACCCCACTTGTTGCTGCCTTGCTTAACGCTGATGCAATATAACACAGTCTGCTTGATGCCTAAAAAACACTTAAAATTTATGCAGATTCAAATTAATGCGGTGTTTCATTGATTCGTATATAATACGATTATTCCCAAACAGGAACAAATCATCAAAAGGTGGCAATTTGTCATAGCACCATACTTCCCTTAAATCTATGTTTGTTTTGTGCAATTTTGGAAAAAAATATAACATCATGGATGCCATCAAAATATCAACTTTACTTGGCAAGAATTAACTGATATATGCACGAAAGAAGTGTGGAAGAAGTTATGGCTGAAGGTATCCAAGAATTCTCATCAAGAATAGCCTATCACTGTATTGTTAGGTTGACAAAATTGTCAACTTAATCAATACAGGAGATGTAGATGAGCAGGATATTGGGGTTACTGCAGGTTTCTGATAAGAGCCTTACAAATGACGACCTTCAAGAACTGGCATAACAAGGAATTCATGTAGAACTGGAAAATAGAGATTCTGAAGACAAAGAATTCAAAAAATTTCTCTACAGTTTTCCTTTGTAAAAGTTTGGTAATGATAACCGAAATCATTGATCAAATTGTAGCGAATGATTCAGATTTTGATAGGAGTGCCAAAGCAAAATGAGTGTTTTGGATGTGATCTTCTGTTACCACCATTTGCTTAAGGAAAGAAAAAGAAAGCAACCAATGAAACTACATGACTTCATTGCAAAAAACAAGAATTTCAGAAGAGCCAGGACCTTCATCACAAAAAATTAACTTTACATTTCTGTGCACATATGTTTATGTGTTATTTAACATATATTATTATGCAAAAATTTATATAAAAATAGCTTAAAATTATAATAAAATGTGCTTATTTTTTGGTCGTGTGCTCCCCTATCCCTATTTACTCTATGTTAAAATGGTCTTATTTAATGCTGTTTCACTTAGCACTTTGTCATCTAGGAACATATCCCCTGCATTAAGCGGGGTCTTACTGTACGTTCATTTGATATTTTACTTGTGATTACATGAAATAAAATTAGAATTGTATTACTAAATCTAATTTTCTTTATTGTGATCTTTAAAGTCACACCTTGTCCTATATGTGAGGTCGTCTTATATTTGAGTAAATACAGTATTTTTTTTTTCTATTTTATCAACATATTAAATTTTTCTAAAATTAAGAGAGAGAGAGAGTTTACAGGTTTGAGAAAAATGCAATACCTCATTTCTTTTCTTCTGAGTCATTGATGGGGCTGGCTGCATTTTTCTGTATTTGGTTGGAAAACTCCATTTTATTTGGACACCAACTTTCTTGGAAGTTATGTTTCCAAATCATTGGCATTGGTATTGATCCTATCTATAGGGTATTTGTCTGACCAATCATTTGGGGCTATTCAAGTCACTTTAGGAGAGAAGTAACAAGGAACTTCCTTGTGGAGTTAATATCAAAAGCTAAATTGCCAAACGATCGTCTAAATATCGGGCTATTATATGGCTAATTAAATGATTAGAATAAAGTAATTTGACANTATTGTTTCAGCTTATTAAATTATAGGCTCAAAACATATTTGTTATGGTATTTATAAAATAATATATTCAAATGATATATATAAAAGAACTTTTTAGATTACTTACATGTTCAACAACTCTATTTTTTAGATCATCCCATCGTTTATTGCCACTTTCATTATAAAGAAAAATTTCAGTTGCAGGATTATCTGCACTTCCAATGCGTAGTTCTTTTTCATACTTGGCACAAAGATTTTGCCAATTGATTAGTTCTGCTGTTATGAATAATTGTAATAGACCCCTAAAATAAATTTTAAAAAATTATAATAATTTATTTAAAACAATCTTTAAAAAAAGAAATTTTCTTACTTATAAAGAGGCACCTCTTCTAAATTTTTATCATCTTTAACTCTATGAATGAGATCAGATTGTTCATTATCATAAGGAGACAAGATTAAATACAGCACAACATTTTTTAATGTTTCATGTTTCTTTTTATCATCTTCCTGGATACAGGGTGTAGTATAAAGTGCTCGATAATGTTTACATATAGCAAGATAAGATCCTTCATGCTGATCAAGTTCAATCATTAATCTATAATACTTTAGCTTCAATTCCTAAAATAATAATATGTATTGCATGTCAATACTTATAGCATGAATTTTAAATTTCTAAATATTCTCATACATTAAATTACCAAACGATCGCCTAAATATTGGGCTATAATTAAATGATTAGAATAAAGTAATTTGACATTAGAGGTAGGCGTTAGGCGCCATCTCTTAAGTAAATTAATAATTAAAATTAAATAAATAAATTATTAAATAAATTTAGAACCTTCTGGAATAAAAGAACTGGCCCAGGACAGGGCTTGAACCCGCAACCTCCACTTGCCGTGCGGTGCGCTTGACAGTTACGCCACCCGGACCCCGAGCGAGTCTTCACTTCCAAAATTATAATAGATTAGATATAACCTTACTTGGTTAAATACATTACTGACTGGGGGCGACTACATCACCCACGACCCCCAATGGCACTCAGCCAGCTAACGTAACACCCGGCGAGGTATTCGGGCTTTGAATGTTGTTATTTATATCAAACTACTCGGGCTTTGAATGTTGTTATTTATATCAAAAGCAGCATCTCTCCTCAGGAACTTCCTTTAAAGTCAGAAAAAAGTTAATCTGTGACTAACACAAATGTTTCCTGTTTAACAAATTTTAAAATTTTCTGTTTAACCAAAACATTGGCTCCTAAGTTCTCTCACAATAAAATTTTACAGATGCTTTATTATCTATAAATTATCAGCTTTTTGTAATATTTAAACTTAAAACTTATTAATGCACTTTTCCAAAAACAGTTGGCATATTCAGAAAGTATACAGGGTGTGCTGTAAGTCTGGAACAATAGGAATTGCATTAATCTTTATTTATTCTTTTACAGATGAAGCATTGTGCTGAACAAGGAGGAACAAATTAGTTATTTTGATAATGGGGACCCATAGTCAGCACAAAGCTGCTGAAGAGTTTAACAGGCTGCATCTAGATTGCTGTGTCTGATTGGTGGAAAGTATAGTGCATCCTATTAAACTCTTCAGCAACTTTGTGGTGATTGTGGGTCCCCATCATCAAAATAACTTGTATTCATTCCTCCTTATTCAGCATCTTGCTTTACCTGTAAAAGAATAAACAAAGATTAAGATAACTCTTATGGTTAGTCTTACAAGACACTTTGTACATAGTATATTGTGTTTTTAATATTTGAATCTTTGCTCAAAATCTATTATTGAATATTTAAACATACAAAAAGAAATATTTACATAGGAAGTGTCATTAATTTCCAACCTAACCTACTATACATGACTGGAAGACATGTCAAGACAAGTATATAAAAGATTAATATCTTATTAAATTGATGAAAATTTAATGGCTGTAGTATCAAAAAGTGTTTCATAGTGGACTTCTGTCTATGACAGAATAGCAAATATTAATTAAACTAGAATATCAGGCAGTCATTAAATTTCTTACAAAAGAAGGCAAAGTACCCATGGAAATGAAGCAATGTCTATATCATGTGTATGGAGAAGCTTTGCCATCATATACCACCATCAAAGAATGAACTAAATGTTTTTGATTAGGACAAGAATTCCTTGGAGATGAAATGAGATCTAATTGTACAGTAGAAGCAGTAACATTGGAAAAATTAGTTTGGTGGAGGAGTTGGCTCTTTCAGATTGCTGGCTGAAAGTGAAAGAAATATCAGAAATGACCAACCTAATGGATACCAGTATTGGGATATACTTCATGAGCATCTAGGCATGAGCAAAGTCAGCACAAAATGGTTTCCAAACTTTTTTCTGCTGATAGTGGCAGCAATGTGTAGACAGTGCACAGTCAACTTTGGACCTCTATGAAGCAAGTGAAGTTGATTTTTTAAAATCTGTTTTTATAGGGGATGAAACTATGATTCTTTTATGACTTCTTTTCCAAAATGGAGTCAGTGGAGTGGCAAAGACTATTGGAGGGGGCACCAAAAAAGACTGAAGTGTCACAATCAACCAAGAAGGTCATAGCCACCATTTTTTGGGACTAAGGCATATTGATGGTGGACTTTAAAGAAAGAAATACTACTGTAAATACGATATATTATTCAATGTTGTTACATCAGTTTAATGCAAAGATATGTGAAAAATGACAAGGAAAATTAACAAGAAAAATGAATTTGTCACATGACAACAAATGTGTGCCTCTCGTTTAGCACTTGCTCATTTGCTCAAGCTGCTATTTGGGATTATGGCTTTGTGCAGCTCAATCCACCCACATTACAGCTAGATCTGGCCCTGTCAGACTATTTTTTGTTTTCAGATTTAAAAAAAAGCCCTTTGAGGAAAACATTTTGAAAGTGATGAGGAATTGCAGACAGTAGTAAATCACCATTTTAAACAAAAATTTTCAATGAAAGAGGAATTAAACAAGGTCACCAAGATAAATTAGGATCAGAAGAGGCCATTAGCAAAAAAGGTTGAGAATCATTGTTGTAAAGTTTAACTCATTTGAATATTTTAATTAATATGAATAATTTTGAGTCTGGCAGAATTTAATTTGTTTCACATCTTCATTAACTTTGATAAATTGAATTTAAATAGGAATTTATTGGCTATATTGAATTTTCTCAATACAAAATAAAATATGTGCTAATTATAGAAATTAAAATATTTATATTAAATTATGAAATATATTTTATAAATAATTATTCTTTACAGTTTTTAAAGAAATTAAACCGACAGGAAAGAGTTGTTGAAGAAGTAAAACTTGCTTTGAAACCTTATTATAGCAGGCGAGAAATAGATAAAGAAGAATATAAAGAAATAATGAGAAAATCAGTACCAAAGGTAAATTATTATTTTTTAAATTCTATGAAAGTAATGCAACTTATTAAAGTAACTGAAAATTTTTTAGCATACAGTACGAATCATCTACATAGTATGAAATTCATATCTTACTCAGTCATTATCCTCTTAGAAATAAAATATACAATAGAAAATTATCTTAATTTGATGGGACTAGGATCTTTTGAAATATTAGATAATCCAGAAACTCATTTTTGTGTTTTTGGTAGAACATCAAACACTGTGCATTTAAAGTTTCATGAATTATAAATACTGTAATACAATTACTGTATTTGAACATAAATTAATTTATTCAAAATCTAATACATTTTTTGAAAAACCATCTCATAATTGAGTTTCCACTGTATTATATAAATTCTTTATTAATATGTACCTTTTATAAATGTGCTTCAAGCATAAAGCATTCATTCATGTTGTCCTCTATAAAATAATACTAGAAACAGAATTTTAAAAGTATTAATATAGATAAAACAATCATGAAAGAATAAAATAACCTCTTATAGATTTTAGAAAGTAGAAAACCTCTGTTTGAAAATCTATAATTATTTAGTTTTCTAAAGATATTTTAAATTTTTGAAATTGTCTAACAGTCAGCACACACTATTAGCTTTACAATTTTTGGTTCAGTTCAATAAATTGACTACTCAGATCTCATACACATCTGAAGTACACATTTTCATATCTTATCAATAACTTGTTTGCTTTATTTTCATCTCTTGTCTTTTTATATTTATTTATGTTTTACTAATGCTTGATGTATTTTGTCTTAATTATGAGGATTGATTGATGTGAGGATGGGATTCCGGTTTAATTCCTCTTCACATACAGGATGTAAATGTTAATCTGTCTTCAAAGTTAGTGAGATAAAATAAATTAAAATAACTTACTGGAATATAAATACTTAAAATAATCAAACACCTTAGTATTTCCAGCAATGAAGTATTTAATAAAATAAAAATGTTTTCAACTATATTTAATAGTCGTCTTCAGTTAAGTCACTTTAAAACATAAACGAACGTAAAATAGAACGCAAGCAATACAACGGTTTAAAAATTGAAATTAATTACAACAAAATAAAATAAAACGTAAAAAACAAAATTAAATTACAATAAAATATTATGAAAATTAATCGTGGTAAAGAATTAAATTAAATAAAGTATTAAGAAAATTAATCGTCATGGTAAAAATCTTTTTACCATGACGATTAATTTTCTTACACCCACCCACAATGCTATCACCCCATTGTTGGTGGTGATTAACCATTCAGCAGTGAGTGACGAATATATTTGTCAAGGGTGATCGTGTGGCTGTGGTGAGGGACGTATATACGTCAAATTCTTTTGGGGGTTTCACCAAAAACTACCACAAAAAAAAAAATTCACATAAAAAATGAATTATGTAACAATAAAAAAAAAGGCTTTTCTTTACTAGACATAACTAAATTATAAATTTTCTATAAACAAGCATTTACTATTATCAGGACTTATTATACTGGCTTAACAGACAATACAGAGTTTCACAGAAAACAATTTTTATTTAATATACCTGGACACATACCTAATTTTGCGTTTCAGACACATTTGTCCCTCCTCAGCAGGTATTTTTGTATTCTATTCTATAAATAATAAAAAAATCTTTTTAAAATTACATTTAAAATTACCGACAACTTATTTACAAAATAAAATTCTTACAATTTTTAGATTTTCTTTTACATTTAACTCAACCAGATATTCAATTATAACCAGCAAAGACAGTATTACTATGAACTTAAACCTGTTTTAAACAAATTATTATTTTAACATTATATCATTTTTTACATTTATTTAATATTTTATACATTTATTTACTATTTCACAACTTACATCTGTTCTTGTTGCATTTGGCTAACACTTCGTTTTGTGAGGCTGGGACCACACACCCCCCCTGGGATGGAAACCGGCTGTCGAGCTAAAGTCAATATATCGGTGACTTATTACGTAAATAAGACCGGTGTGACCAAGGAACGGGGTGCGAGACGATTTAATTGTCGCATTCCAGGCCTAATTGACAGATTCACAGTCGTCAATCGTGAGAATGATCGAGGGATTGACCGTCGGGGAAACTTTGGACGGTCACCTTACATCGAGTTCAAAGCAGGTCCTGCTGACACTCCTGTGGAGGGGGCGGCGGCTGAGACAGCTTCCTCCTCTCCGGGACCGAAAAATAGACATTAGGTGACAATTTACGAGACCGTCATCCGGGAGAGGGCTTGACCCGACTCCGGAGGAGAACGGCCCGGACGGGGGTCATCTCGGCGACCCCTCGGCCCGAATCGCGTCCCTGGCAACAGACCCGGGACCAATAGAAGCGCAGAGGGACCAACATTCGGACCAACCAAAACCTCGGGATTTCGGGTGAGGAAAGATTATAAAAGCCCGAGGTCCCAAGGACACGGGGAGGTTGGGAGTTTGAGAAGCTGTGAAGAACTTCGACAGTCCCCGAGGACGGATCAACTCCGAGATTTTTCCGAAGAAGAGGACTAGGGATTCAAGCTCCCGGGAACAGTGAAACTTCCCGAGACCTCCACGGCGGTTGAGGAGACGAACTTTCTCCTCCCGGGATTTTGGTGTGTGTGACGAACCTCGAACCTACGGACAACAAGAACAACAACGGACTATTCGACGAACTGTCTTGGACGGACGCCTATCGAAGATCCGACAAGTGTAACTCATTGTAAGCATGTTTTCTAATCCAAATAAACACGTTGAATTGGTAAATACGGTCTCTGTATGAGTCTTTGCGTCCAGCAAACCGCGACCCCCATACGGAAAAGGCTTTCTCGTGTCATCCTGACAGATCACGGGTAAAGCGAGGGACATAACCGTAACCTTTCACCCCCAGGGCTCCCATCACTACAGTGGTGTCACACTCCACACAGTTTCCACTTTTTCGGAATGTTCTTTTTATCTTCTTGACACACCCCTTTTTCTAAGATTCTTCGCCATGATTGGTGCATTTCTCTACCAGTATTGCTATTTATCCTATTATTTTGTCTAATTGTATTAATATGTTCATAAAGTTGTCTTTTGTAATTATTCTTTTCTTTTTTCCTTATTTTTACAGAATTTAATACTATTTCACAACCTGTATTATTACAGGTGTCTGTTAAGCCAGTATAATAAGTCCTGATAATAGTGAATGCTTGTTTATAGACGAAAATTTATAATTTAGTAAGAAAAGGACATTGAGGCATTTTAATTCAACTAGACATAACTGTTTACAAAATCTTTTTCTGAAATAGTGATGAGAAAAAACGCTTAGAAAAATACTCTAAAAATTTTGCACATTTATTCTTCACTACTAAGGGGTAGCATCATACCTGACTATTTCACTGTTAAAAGGTTAAATCTACCACGCAGAAAGAAGCAAATGCATGACAGGGGAGTGCTGGAGGCAGAGTACTGTACAGTGACCATAGGCAAAGGTGTGGTCATTAACAAACCTTTCCCTTTCCTCTTTTAATACAGATAAAAAGAAACATTGCATTTAATGGTTCCAGTTGTGGAGAACAATGTATGGTAAGGACATGAAGGATGGGTTTCACAGAAAAGTTTTTCTAAGAATATTTCAAACCTTTCTGACACAAGGTAAAATAGGTTAGGGGGCATTGGGTATAATTTTGTGGAACCAATGGGACGGTGTCTTGAAAGTTTGGGAATCACTGATCTATGTGATTGATGTACTTGTTTTATTATGAACATCATAAAACCTTTAGGAAGCAGTTTTTTCCTATACTGTCACATTGTCATTTTAATACACAGTTTGCCAGCAATGATGTTTTGTTTTACAAAGTTTTTATGGATTGTAATGTCAAAATGTGTCAGGTGACATTGTCTTCTCAATAAATGGAAATTTTAATAACTGAGTTAGAAAAGGGTTTATACTAAAAGGGAAATTAGTTGGCTATATTTTGTAAAATACTTTTGAGAGACAGATAGGAAGAAAAGTGTAGGATTGATAGTTTATCCAGTGGTTCAATATTTGATATAGAATCATTATAAAAAAGATAGAGTCAATGTTGTTCCTGAGTGAAATGTAAAGTGGCTGCTTTAAAAAAAAAAATCACAAGCATCATCTCTATCTTAAAATACTCTTTCCTGAGATAAAGGATATTCTCTAATATGATTGTATAGTGTGATTACATCCACCTGGTAGTGCTATGCAAGACCAGGCAGCACCTTTTGTGCCAAATAAAATAGATGATGATGATGATTCGAGTACATCCAGTTGTCTATATTGGATATAATGAAATTGAAGTTACAGACAGAATAAGACTGGTCGAAAGACAACTATCCTTTTCTCTCCTCTATGGAAGATGAGAGAATCTTTGAGCAAAAAGTTGTCCAGAATCATATTTGTGGAGAAGTAATGATCTCTCAAGATATAAACAAATGTTCAGCCAATCAGAAACAGGCTTGTGACATAGACAGTCTCAAAAACGAGATGATAACCAGAATATGGTCCCTGCTTTCATTTTGATGGTTGGGACATATTTTATAGTGATTTCTACCTTTCTTGAGCTTTGCAGGAGAAATGGTATCTGATGCTGATATGTTTGCTTCTTTGATAGTAGAAAATGTTCTTATAATAAACTTCCCGAAGCCTGATAGATTGATACTCAACCAAACAATCACTGTAAATTGGGCTATAAATATACTGTTGCTAATGATTAGATACTAAGTAATTTGGTATTAGAAATAGATGTTAGGTGCCATCTCTTATCTAAATTAATAATTATAATATTTAATAATTTAGAACTGTCTGGAAAAATTGCTCAGAGGTAACTAGCCAAATGTACTGCATGGTAAGCAGAGGTTGCAGGTTCAAGTCCTGCTCTGGGCTAGTTCTTTTCTGCCAGACAGTAGTTTAGATAAGAGATGTCAGGTTATTAATTTAGATAAGAGATGGCACCTAACATCTATTTCTAATACCAAATTACTTAGTATCTAATCATTAGCAATAGTATATTTATAGCCCAATTTACAGTGATTGTTTGGTTGAGAAAATGTTTTTGCTAATACATAAGCTGAATAGCATTCTGGCTATCACAATGAATCGCAATTGGTTCATCTGCAAGTTGTTTGAATCTCATTTCCATCAGAATTCTTATGTGAATGACATCTGTGGTAGTAAGGCCATGCATTCCACTCTGCATTATTGAAAGCACAGTAGATTTTTACTTCCTTACTTCCCAAGAGATGAGTCTTGGCTGGGATGGGGTTTCCTGATTACAGATTCCTGTCATGCGCAAACATTTTTCAATGTATCCATGTTGAGCCAGATTGGGCAATTGCATTTCTCATATGTCAGTCCATAATCTGTATTTCTTGAATGTATTATAATAATCAATTAACTGTTTTCCAGTAAGTGATACTTGGATTTGTGCTAGTGGCAAATTGATTGGTGTTGGGACAGGTTTAGTCTTGCATGTGGATTTTCTCTAGGAGTTCTGGCATATTTTTCTAAGTTGCATGACAAATACATGGGTCATTGATATAAACTAAACAACATATTCTGTTGACAGAACAGAAGAGTATGTTTACTGTCAATTATCTTCTGTAGCATCTAATTGCGCATTTAGCACTCCAGCACAATGTCTAGGCATTACCACTTTGTCAATGAATGTGTAACAAAATATTTCTATCAGACACATTATAACTGCTTAATGATTCCATATTTGTTGTAACAAACCTAATTCCAATACTTCCTCCTCCTCAATACTGGATAATTTGAAGAGCAGTTGGCCCCAGTACAACAGCCTCCAAAATATTTTTGTGTATAAATTATAATGTTTCAATAATTAAAAATATTTTTTATACAGCTTTATGTATAATTATTGTATTTATGTAAAGAATGACAAAATTAGAACATTGAACTAGAGCCTTCTGTTGCAACAGGCAATGTAATTGTCAAACCCTTTGTTGATTTTGTTTGTCAGTGGCTCGACACCTATTTCAGAGAATTACGTACTGATGACACCAATTTTTTGTAAAAATGTATTTGTAATAAAACTGAATTATATGAATTTTTTTCAAACATTTTCAAATCAGTACAGGCAGCCTCAGAATTACAATAATTGCAAAGAAATTGCTATTTAGTTTTCATGCAAAGAATACATTGATTGTTTAATTAGCAAGTAATTAATGGATTGGTTTAAATTTGGAAAAAATCAAACTCAAAAATTAAGTTCCTATGATATGTACTTTCCACGTAGATAACCATCTAGACACTCATATTTCAACCTTTTATTGTGAACCGTTTTATTCAGTTACTGTTTAAATGAACTTCAATGTATATTCAAATTACAACCATTGACAGAAAACTAATCTAGACTCAGTTTTATTTCTGACAGACTTAAGAGCTATATAAATAACATGTACATGCTCATTAAACTGTCTTGTAAAATATAAAATCAAGTTGTTATAATCAAGTAAAAAATTTTTTATTTTCATACACTTTTGTTGCAATAATGAAGAATCCTTAATATTTTTTCTTACAACTTTCCATCCAACTCACTGTACTGTTGTTTATTAAAACTTCTGTGATTTGATAGTTACACACAATATAAAGTACTTCCTCTTATCTAAGTGATATTTTTACATCAATGTAACACAGTTTTGTCGCTTGACTGGTATGTTAAAATGGGCTTGTAATTCAATATCCTGATTCTGCTTCTTAGGAGCTTAAAAATGCAAGTAACTTAAACACACATGCTGCAAACTACTAAAATTTAACTTTTGGATATTGTACAATAAAAAATTACAATATAGGTACAAGATAATTGAGTAGCTACAATTTATCACTGATGTTGCTTAGTTGGAACTCTAAATTTGTTAATGTATAAAGGAATTTGCAGTTTATTTTAAGGAAAAATATTTATAGCAAAGTTTACATTTAACAATTTTTATCATTTTACTGTTTTAAACTGGATTAATTACATAATTTCTTATTGAAAATCACCTTTACTTTTAAACTTTCAATTATTTCTCTGCTTACTGATTTTGCAATTAGTTTAAGATTTCAGCAAAAACATCATTTAATGAATTTTTTCATGAGTCATTCTCTAATAAAATTGATTTGAATTACTTCTCATGAATACATATGTTATAAATACTATGTCTAAACTGTAATCAAATGATATTTGTAAATATAAAGTGGTTGCATTACTTTCAAAGTAAATCTTAATGTATTTAATTAATNTGAGTGTTGCTGTAATAGGCTATTATGTTGCACTTTTCTCTTATTTAAAGGTGTTCTGAAGCAAATCATGATTGTTCATTATAAACAACCAGGCGAAAAAATACAGAAATTTTGTCGCTAGAATAATTATTCGTCACTTAAAAAAATAATAATAAATAATTTAAAAAATTATTTATTTATTTATTATTTGTTTTCTTATACAGCCAAACCTTGAACAACGGCCACTGACGAACATAAAATTATGGTCAATATTTGGAGGTTCTTTATATGCACATTTCTTAAACTTTTCTGAAAAAATGACCGCCGTTTACAGGTGATCGTTATTAGGAGGTTTGACTATAGTCTACATCCAACTTGCTTTCAGTCTCTTCTCACTTCTAAAGAAAATGCCTACGTCAGCAAATCTTGTAAAATGTTGCAAAACGAAACATTTTTCAAGAATTTAGCTGAAATAAATTTGCTTATTTTGAATAACAGAAAGGGAAGAACAACAAATATAAAAGATTTTAAAGATTATTATTATTATTTTTTTAACTTTAAAGTTTAAATTTTTCTCTTGCCTTTTCTCTCTAAGCACGTGAATCAGGATTTTAAATAATAATCATTTTGATTATTCAACAAAATAAAAATTATCTATGCTATGTGATAAAATTGAGTTATATATAATTTTTTAAATAAATCATTTATATTTTTAGATTGGATTGATGTGAAACAACAACGCAACACTTGCAATCTGCCAAGGAGGAATGCTTCCTGGGAGGACCTTCTATGGGAAACTGGCACCTATTGAGGTGCTATTAGACACATCGTGTCTAATACCTAAATAGAACTAGTTTTCCATGTCGTAAAGAAAGCCCAGAAAATTCCACGTGGCCAGCTCATTGGTCAGGCATGAACCCTCGACTAACCCAGTATTCGAGTGGTTTCATCCACTCCAATGGTGGGTGTGGTTTCATCCAATGGTGGGCAATTTACAATTTTGAAATTCTGAATGAAATTTTTAAAAAACTTATTTTGATAATTGAAATTAAGTGCATTCTAGTAATATTCTAAATATAGATCTAATTTAAAAGCAAATACTAAATTATACTTGGTATATATATTAACTAGCAGACCCCGCCAGGCGTTGTTGTGGCTCAAAATGTATCTATTATAAATGTATAACACTTCCCCCGTGGGGNTATATGATATAACAGAATCAATTTACATACAAAAACAAGCATTTAGCCAGATCCAGAAAACAATACATCCTTTTATCAACCAATTGTTTTGTCATATTAAAAACAAATGTTTAATTATTTTCAAATAAATTACTAATTATGTAAAAGTTTATATGTTAAATGTTTACTTCAATACGTAGACAAGCATTATACAAGAAATCCTCATTAATTCAAAACTCAAGGGACAAAATAATCATGACATCAAATTACAGTGTTTCAAATTATCCAAGAGTTACATATTTCTGTACAATATGCCAAATGCTACATAACTGACATAATTTATTATGCAAATGGAATGTAGCTATATATATACAGAATGTTATTTTCATTAATTAATAATTACAAATAATTGCAAAAACAGGTTTGTCATAACAGATCTGGTGATATAAATCCTGTAAAAATTAAAACATTAATTGAGGGATACATAAATCTTAATGTATTTAATTAATTAATAATTACAAATTTTTGCAAAAACAGGTTTGTCATAACAGATCTGGTGATATAAATCCTGTAAAAATTAAAACATTAATTGAGGGATACATAAAGAAATTCAAACATCAGCAGAAGAAGAGTGGAAAACTGCAGAAAACAAAGATATCGTGATTTTTCTAATTTGTTTTTCGTTTTTTAGTCGCGTATAATTCTGGCAAGACGCCTGTCCTGGGTTCGACCGCCCGCCCAGGAATCAGTTTTTCCAAAACACTTGACATCAAGTTATTGTCATTCTTGAAAGGACAGTTACTCAAAATGAGATTCTATACTACTATTACGTTAAGTAGAAATCAATGTATAAAAAAAACAAGGGGAATGAAGATTTATGGATAATCAAGATGTGTAAAATAATCGTGGTGTTGTATTTTATCTATAACATAGTTTAGAATTGTGCAAACCTTTTTTTTGGTCTCACTATTGTGATTAAAAGTATCTATCAATCAATCTATTTAAATTCCAGTTGCACAAGACAGGAATGCTCTGGCTTTTACTTAAGAAGTATTGTAAAGAAAAATAGTGAATAAAGTTAAATTTATTTTTTTGGTAGTCTTGAAATCAATTTCTTTTTAAACGGATAATGGAACATTGCAAATATTCTATCAAGTCATCAAGAGAAAGGTCAGTTGTAACTAATTAAATATATTTCATAAATTGTTTTGTAAAATTAAAAAGTTTTACTGTACTTCATTCTTTGCAAAAATGAGAAATAAAAGTTTTTGTAAATATTGTCTGTCATTTTATGAAGGTAATTCAAAAGTACCTTTATTTCACTGTTCTGATTTTATTTCAATGAATTGCACATTAAGTACAGATTAGCTATAGGAAACCAATACAAAAGACTAATTTGAGAGTTACTACACTGTTAACAAAGTAGCTTTCCAGTATAGTTTCCAGCCCTGAACAATCTTAGCTGTCCAGAGTTTCCTTGTCAAACATATATTCTCCAAGACCTTTGCCCACTCGCTTGAGATTGGTGACGTAATCACCAAGCTGCTTAATAGCATCAACCTGTTCCTGAAGATATTCTGTTTCCAAGAAGTCACACATCTAAAAAAAAATATTATTTAACATAGAATTACTTAGACTGATCAAGTAGAAAGAAAGATTCTTACTTGTGGATCATTGCATCTGGTGGAAATTTTGTGCAGATCGAGAAGAGCCTGATTGACAGTTTTTTCCAATTCCAAAGCAACATTCATAGCATCTAAAGCAGTTCCCCATTCGTCAGCAACAGGTTTCTGAAAAATTAAGGTATATTTATATTTCTCAATTACTTTTGTATTCAATAATTTACAAAGATGTAAAGATGTATAATGTTTTTATGAATAATCAATTTTCTACAATTTACAATTTTATTGAGTATTAATACCTGAATGTCTTGAAGAATAATACGACCACCACGCTTGTTTAAGTATTTCATGAACTTTTCAGCATGTTCTCTCTCTTCATCACTACATTTTTTGAAGAATTTATAGCATCCAGGTAAAGCCACATCATCTCTGTCAAAGTAGTAAGCCTGAAGAAATTTTATTAATTAGAAATCATACAATTTGATTTGACAATTTGCAGGTTTACAGTTAAGCATTCAATTATAAAAATTAAAATTCCTTAAAAGCATTTCAATTGATTGTATATAAATAAAGCATTTAATGATTCTTCTAGTCTGTCATTATAAGTATCTGTTGGTTCACTCATTAAGTTAATAACAAAACTAACATTGGTGGTCAGGATAATGATCTTCAATTAAGACTTGAAGACCACCATTATCTGTGTTGCTCGCCAGCCATGTCTCCTGGGCAAGAAATCACCTAGCATGTCATGGCCTTTACAGTTCTCTTTGTGCTACAGATTGATTTCTAGAAACTTAAATGCAGGATTGTTTACAGCTTGAAGATTACATAAAATATGCAACATGAAATATTTGTCAAAATAATGAATTTTGACAGTACACAAGTAAAAAAAAATTATGTTGATTAGGAAAGTCAATTTTTTTTACTAGAAAATAATAACTTTGATTTAACAAAAGCCAAAGATCTATGGAAAAATTCACAAAACTTGAAATTGAACAGATTGTTTGTTTATAAAGGATACAACAAAAGGAAAAATATAAACAGTTTATAAAGGATAATGTTTTATTACATTATTTCATTAAAAAACCTACATTTATCATCAACTGTTGTAATTATAATATTAAAACCTTTTTGCTAAAAATTTCAGTTATCAAAACAGCTAATTTTAATGGTAATAGTGCATTCATCTTAATCATTTGAATGATTACTATCAAACAAATCATTGTTCAGTGCTACAGATGTTGAGAGATCTTTTTAAAATAAATTATGCATGTCTTTAGTAGTATAGTAACTTTTTCTCAATCACTTTTGTTCATAGTAGTATGTTTCTTTAGTGTGAAGGAATTTATCAATACCTTACTATTATTTTAAATTAAAGGTGTAACTTATGGCTTCATTTAGTCATAAAAAGAATGCAAAATTGAGAAATTGTTGTATTTTTCATTATATGCAATCTTTAGCACTTTTCACTATATATATATAAAACCTAATTTTTGGCAGGATTTGGGGGGAAAAATGAGTGACATCCTATATTTCCCATGTCAATGTTTTATCGTAATTGCAAAAATTATCCATGAAGAGAACTGTCATTTGGTATGATTACATAATAGGATAATATAATACAGTACTGTACTATATTTTAAATACAGTATATTAAGAGGGACTATTTGGGAAATTGGTTTAGTTTTGTACAGAAACATTAGGGTTTAACTTTTAAATATGACATGCTTTAATTTAGCATCCTCTATTGAGGGTAGAATGATTGATGCAAGATAATATTTTTCTTTCAGTTAAAATACAGAGAACATTGCAGGAACAAAGATTACAGGAAAAATAGCGTTATACACGGGTCCTTATTTGGGACTGGGGAAAAATTGGTGCGGAAAAACAATAGAATGAGATTTCACTGTATATGTTAGTGTAAAAGTCTAAAATCTAGTAACTTATAAATTACTGAAAATTAACTTAAAACAACCAAAAATTTAGTGAAATAAAATTATTTTTAAAAATCACACAAATTTGCAATATAATAATCCAGTTATCATTTTAGATTAAAAAAACTAAATGAACTAACTATACAAGGAAAATGGTGGCAAGTTACGATCTCAGGTGGTTTTAATTCATCTTTCAAATAATTTACTATGGACTATTTGGAACTAACAAATATATAATAGTTATATATAAGTGATTAAATAAATATAGGACACTTTTGTGTTGCAGCAGTTATTGGTAGCAATTCGTTAAATTTCAGATATGCTTGCTAGTACTTTCAACAGTTTACAACCATTGTCTTCAGGAGAAAGGTATTGATTGTAAACTGTTGAAAGTAGTAGCGAGCATATCTGAAATGTAACGAATTGCTGTCAATAATGCGGCAACATGGAAGTGTTCTATATTTAATTTCTAAAGCTGGTGTGAAGTGAACTATATTTTCATAAGTGATTAATACAGGCACTATGAATAATGACAAAAAAAAAAACAGGCAATAATAAATTTCAGGTTTTTTTTCTCTATCATAATTTATCAGATTAACTGGTCAATACTGCTAACACTTGGTCAGGCAAAGTGATATTTTGAGGAATGATCATCTGACATACACTGGCCAATTAGCACTCATGTCTGAGTTGTGCATGTTAGTATCATTAAAATCATGCAACTGGTAGTTAATCTTGTGAATTTTACTTTTGCCTCTTAAAATACTGTTTTCTTCTTTACTCCATAAATGTTACTTTTTCAATTATTAGGTGATATGAATAACCACATCCAATTAAATGCATTAGTAGTATCAAAAGGTCAGAACAGTCAAATTTTTACAAAATCAATATATTTGACAATGATACAAAAAGTGAGAGAGTCAAAAAAAAAGTGACTTTGAAGTTACAAGAATATGCATGTACTGTACATAGATATGACATTGTATCTATTGGAGAAATAGGAAAATTAATTGTGCCTGTAAAAGAAGATAATGTGATAATCTTATTTTTAGAATTTACAAATATTTAATTTCCAGATTAAAAAAAAAATAAAATTACCCTTTCTAATCAGACTTCCAGTGATTCAGTTAAGCACAAACAAATAAAGAAATACTAAACTTTAATTACCAATAACTCCATTTTCAAAGAGTGTCTGCTTAACTGAATCACTCAAAGTCAGATAAGAAAGAGTATTTCCAGATTAAAAACAAGTAAAATTACTCTTATTTTTAGAATTTACAAATTTTAAGAATATTACCGATACCATTGTTTAAACTTTATGAAGTGATTAAATATGTTCACACTGAAGAAATATTTTCAGACATTGTGTAATTTCCATATTGCTATTAGCCACGGTGGCAGAAACCATATGGAAAAAGAATTAAGTATGAAACAAAAACATTACAAGGGAGATGATCAAAATTTACTTGAACTTATGTAAAATTCATCAGAAAAAAACAATGTTCCTTTCATATGAAAAAGGTCTAACCATGCTCATTTCCAAACACCGGGATGTTATTGGTACTACAGAGTCTGTGAATGAAGAAGAAAAAACAGTTAATTCAAAAACAGAATAAAAATTAGTAGCGTATCTAAAACAAAAAAAATGGCATTGTCTAATCTTAAAAAGCAAGAACAGCTAATGTTGGTGGCACAGTAATGATTCATGTACCAGATGTAAATGGAGCCTGCAGTAATGGAAAAAATAATTCAGGTGCTTTATTGTGGTTGATAACTTTCACAGTGTACCAAACATGGCATGTTAAATCTATTATACTCCAGAAACCAATTTACTGTTTTTAAAAAACATTGTGTAGAAATTTTGCTTAGAGAATAAGAAAGAATGTCATCACTTTCTGGAGTACAAGGCTGTAGTTGATGCTGTTGCAAAATTAGTTGCAAATCTAATAGATACAAATGCTATAAAGAAAAAGTATACAGTATATATAATTCCAAACATCATTCCATCAAAATCCTAATTAATCAAAATTTTTCAATATTTAAATTTTATAATTTATAATCAACAATTAACATTCAAGAAGTTTTCTTTAAGTTGATTTTTTGATTGAAGTATAAAATTTGTTAATAATACTTTTAACTGTGTTGTTTTTAAAATACATTGAAATAATTTACAAAAAAATAAATAATTCTTAATGAAAACAAGCAAGTGTGCTATAAGAGTGGTCAAGCCAATCTGATTGCACACTCCACAAAAGCAAATCAAATATAAAAATTTATTTTAAACAAAATTAATAAAAATCTTGGAATCAAGTAGTTGCTCAGAAGAATTTTCCACTGAATATACAGTAAGGGATGTGATACAGATTCCAGGAGGAACCAAGTAGTTTTTACTATAACTTAGTGACCATAAACAAAAATGTTCATTTCCCTTTTGGGCATGTGCATAGATTGAACAGAACACCATCTGACAGACACAAAAGTCTTAATATAAGCACTTCACTACTATAGTGGAGCATGCTAAAGTGGAGTTTAAAATAAAATTGACCAAAGGAAATGTAGCTGTATTCATAATGTCTGATCAATGTAATAAATTAATATCGGGCTGCATGACCATGGCTGGGCATTATAAATAATGCTATTAACCATTTTGTCCATAATATATGTAACAACTAGAAAAAAAATCCAGGAAGACAATTCAAACTATTTCTTGCATTTATAAAAATATAAATACAGTCGACCCCCTATAACACTGTTGATTATTCTGTTTTATATGAATTCCATGTTGTAAGATCTAAGTGACTCGTACAACATGGAATTCATATAAAACGGAATTATCAACAGTGTTATGGGGGGGTCGATTGTAGTAACAATAACTTGACAAACAAAGCTCACCTGTATATATAGTGCTAACTCTCAGAATCATGTTTTAAAATCTTTAGAATCCTCAGGCTTAAAATATCCTAAAATCATATGAACAGGTTGTGTTAATATTTTGATCAACAAATATCGCCTGTAAATGTGGCTGTCATTTCATCATTTTTGGATTTCTCACTTCAGGATTTTTTCAAACATTCAAATTCAATTACCTCAAATATGATTGAGGGTTAGCACTATAGTCCCAGAGTACATCATGTACAAGTCCAATTTAAAAATTTGAACTTTTTCTAGTTGTTGTATGCTTTATAATTCAATAGTTAGCACTTTATTATCTACTAGATTACCTGTCACACATTGCTGCGATCTCAGAAGAAACGAAATTCAAGCAAACTTGTTATAATAAAATTCAATTTACATTTTATCATTTTTATTGAAACTTATTATTATGAAAATCCGACTCTTTTAAGAGAATTTTTATTAAATACGTAACAAGTTATATTTCTTTCATCATCATTTTCGTTGTTTCTCCCATTCTCACCCTAATGTCCGAGGAATAGACCCCGGATAGTGAACTGCGTAATTCGTCCGTCAAGAAGGTCATCCATAGGACGAAGTCGTCCGAGGCGACCGCGGAA